GCGCGTCAAAGTGCAGGGGGAACATCCTAAGCGAGGGAGGGGGGACGGACAGAGTGAGGAGGCGCCGGCGCCAGACGCCAAAACGAGCGAGCGGCCCCCCCCCCCTCGTACTTGATCTCGCCGAAGACTTGCAGCAGCAGCTCTTTGGTGTCGGCGTCCTCGCGCCCGTTCCCCGTGTACAAGTCCACCGCGGCGCGCTCGAAGTACGGCGCCACCTTGGAGAGCGCCCGCAGCTCCATCAGGTACAGGAAGTACAAGTTCTTCAGGCGCCGCGTGCCCTCGCCTTTGGTCTCGGCCCGGTCGAAACGCCAGCGGAACTCCTCGGCGTTGGGACCCCACAGCGACCTGCCCCAACCCTCTGCGCCCACCCCCCGCACGTCAGCTCCGTTGGCGGCGAGGGAGGGAGGGAGGGGGGGGGGAGACGGGGACACTTACCGTCCAGCAGGTACTCGGCGCACAGGTGGATGTTGATGCTGCTGTGGAGGCCCGAGATCAGGCGGTAGAAGACCCGCTTCTCCAAACACAAACCTGCGCCGCCGCCGCCGCCGCCGAGCGAAAAAAAAAAAACGTTGGGATGAAAAGACGCCCGCTCGGCAGAAAGAGAAAAAAAAAAAAAAAAAGAAAAAAGACAAAGACAAAGACGCGCCGCCGTTACCTTCCAGCCACTTGTAGAAGCCCTCGCCTGAAAGCGCAGCAACGACATCGTGAGCGACACGGCGGAAGGCGCCGCCCCCCCCGCCGCCGCCGCGAGCTCCTTCAAAAGGCGTCCGTACTCACCGTCGTCTCCTGAAGACAAAAAGCCAAGCAAGCCGCGGCTCACAAACGCTCCGTCCCGCCGCCGCCGCGCGTCCTGACCGTCGCACCGCAATTTGAAAAGACCGGCTGTAATTCCGTCGCCGACCACCGGGTGGGTGAGGCGGCGTGTCGATTGGAAAGAAGACGACAAAAAAAAAAAAAAAACGGCAAGGCAGCCTCGTTTTTTGGTTCGCAAGAGGTCGGCTCGAGCTCTTTGCGCCCGCGGCGCCGGGTGGCCTTTCTCCGAGAAGCGTCTCGCCGCGCCGCGCGCTCTCAACATCCGTTTGCGACGCATCGAACGTCCGCTGGCGCCCTCTTGTGGCCGCGCCCCGAGGTGGATATTTTTTTTTTTTTGGTCGATTTTTGCAACTCCATAAAGGAGTCATCACCAGTCTGGTTTTTTGCAACCGCGCGAGCCCCGCCCCCGTGTCGACTCGCTGCCGCGTGGTCGTTGACTCACCTCCGCTGGGGACCAGAGGGTTCAGAGGTCGGTACACGGACCTGGGCCTGCGCACGCGACACAAAGTCAGTCAACAACGTCATTGGCGGCGGGCGAACATCGTCAGTCAACGGCGATGGCAAAACGCCGCCGCGGCGGCGAGCGTCGACTGACTTGAAGCAGTTCTCCTCGTAAATGCTGTTCCAGACCCTCCACGCCGACGGGCCTTTGTATCCCGTGTAGCGTTCCGGGTTGAGGAGCAGGTCCACGTATTCGGCGTCCGGGGACGACTCATCTGGGGAAAAACGCGCCGACGAACCGTCACGAACGGCGCCCTTTTGCCGCAGTCAACAACGTCATTGGCGGCGGGCGAACATCGTCAGTCAACGGCGATGGCAAAACGCCGCCGCGGCGGCGAGCGTCGACTGACTTGAAGCAGTTCTCCTCGTAAATGCTGTTCCCGACCCTACACGATGGAACTGACAGGCAGTAAACATGTCTGTATATTTATTTTGCTCACTGCGGGATGCTTTATGCTTGCTTTTTTTTTCCCGACATACAGTAAGAAAACACATAACTCCTCTAATCTGTGTAATATCATTCTTTCTTTCCATTTTCATTTGGCATTCGAAAACCAAAGAACTAGTGACTGATTAGGTTGTTACTTGTTTTTTAATCCGACACACACACACACACACACACACACACACACACACACACACACACACACACACACAACACACAAGGAGTAAAATATACACACAGTGCAACTCGCATCTGCGACGTGTGTGTGTGTGTGTGTGTGTGTGTGTGTGACCTGAGCGTGCTGTTGATGGCCCCCAGCTCTTGCGCCTGCTGACACTCGCTCACGTCGCGCACGCCGGCGGCGCCGCCCTGCGAATACTTGCACACGGGACATCACACGCTTGATGGACGGCGGCGCTCGGGAACGCGCCAAAGCGAAAAAACGGCCGGCGAAAGAAAAAAAAAAAACAGAAGATGAGTCGGCAGGGCGCCGCGGCGATGATGTCATCGCCGGGCGGTTCGGGCTCACGAAACGGAGACGCCGTACGGCGTCGCGCCTCGGCGACACGCCCGCGCGGCAGCCATCTTGGTGGTGGCGGCGGCGAGCTCGGTTGGCGTAATTCTTTCACGTTCGGGTGTATTCGTGTGTGTGTGTTTTTTTTTTTGCGTGCGTGACCGCGTGTATCTTTTCGCGTACGCACGTCAACGTTTGCGTTTTTTTTGCGCATTGGCGCGTGTTTTGCATGCGCAACGCAGCGGCCGGCGCTCACCTTGTTGTAATTCCCAGACTTGATGCCCGCAGGAACCTGACTCTAGAAACGGCGGCACATGAAGAGAAACACAAAAAGTTGAGCGCGGAAGAGGGAGCCGCCCCAGGGGGCGGGGGGAGCGGCGGCCGTTGACCTCCGACCTCGGGACAGGACTCCACGTGGCAGTCTTTGATGGCGCAGTGGCCGTCGTCGGGCCAGAAGGGACACGCTCGCTTGAGGTTGACCTGAGCGAGGCGCAACGAGGTGCATCAGCAGCTCGCCGGGCACGTTGGGGGGGGGGGGGGGACAGGCCGTACCTTGTAGTAGCGGAAGTAGTCGCGCTCCGTCAGCTTCTTGATGCGAGGGTAAAGTTTGAAATTGTTGAAGACGTCGATGCTCTCCACATCGCAGAAACAGTCGTCCAGCACCCCCGTCAGCTGCGGCACACACACACACACACACTAGCATATGGTGGAGCGGACGGGTTTGTGTATCCTCGACGCACGTTGCCAAGGGAAGCCGACAGCTGTTGATGACGTCCACCTTCAAATGTGCACGTGAGAGGACAACTGACCTGCGGGTGCCCGAGAGCCCCGAGGGGGGCAAAAAGCAGGAAGACGCAAACACTTGGCAGCATCCTCAACTTCCCTTCCACGGCGCTTCACAAGCGAGGCCCCCCGACTTCTAAGTCAAAACTAAGCCCCGCCCCCGCATTGTCGTCCAGCCAGTGGCGGCGAGAAGGGAAGGCCAAAGAGGCGGGTCTTCCTGAGCCTCGGCCAATCACGTTACACCACGCCGGTCTACTCGCGTAAACACGTCGAGCTCATCAAGTCCGAACCGCAATTGAAAGAAAATCATTCGGCTCGAACCGCAACAACCACGCAAAACTCGCTCTTGGGTTCCCCTCTCGTTTGAACTTGCGTGCCGTGCGGGGGGGTGTAGAATTGATCAGAGCGCAGAAACGCTTCGCGTCTCGCTTGCCTATGAGCGTCACGCGAACGATGACGTCAAAAGAGACGCGACGAACATTCGAGAAAGCTGGAAGTCTGTTGTTTCGAGTGAGCCCTTCGATTGTCCGTCGCCGGGAGAAAAAGAGGAGTTGAAAGTGCTAGTCTGAAATAAAACGGGAGGATAAAAAATAAAAATAAAAAATAGTCCCTTACATGGCAAAAGCAGCTCTGCTCCTGGGGCTCCGCGCTCGCCCGCGTCCCCCCCGTCTCGGTCTCGGTCTCCGTCCGGGGCTTGCTGAGCTGAAACCAAGCTAAAGCGACATTCCCCAACAGGAAGGCCAGCAGAAGAACGCCGAACGCCTCCAAAGTCACTCTCCACATGCCTCAGCGGGTCCTGCCGATAGACGTCCAAAGAGCTCCCGGGCTAGCCGAATAGGTGTCCGCCGCGCGCGGGTTAGCTTCGGCGGGCTAACGGGCTCGCGCGCGCGGTTGAGAAAGCCGAGGTCGACAACGGCCTCGCGCGGATACCTGCGCCGAGGAGCCCCCCCCAAATGTCGCAAGCACACTTGTCGCGTGAGAAAGCCGAGACAACTTGGGTCGGGTTTCCAACGACGACTTCCACCATTCGAGCCCAATTATGGAGGGGGGCGGAAGGGGAAGGGTGTCTACTTCCGCTTTAGGGTTTCACAATCAAATCGCCTCCTCGTTTGGTACAGAGCGCAATTCTTTTTGCGAGCGCGGACGTACCTCGACGAGTTGACGATATCGCCACGCGTTGTAGGAAAAGCAGAAAGCGGCCTTTTTGCGGGAACACGGGGGGCGTGTTTTGTTTTGTTTTGTTTCGACGTGGTGTGGTCTTCGTCGCTCGTGAGTTTAGTTTGAAAAGCCATGACGGAAGTAGTCGGTGTTAGTCCAAGGTCGCTTTGTAGCGCGTCGGTTGGGTGATGCTGAGGAGAGAGTGCGGGCGAGAAGAGGAGTAGCCGGCGGCGGCGGAGGCGGCGGGGGGGTCTGAGCGCATCCTCAGCGCCTCTTTCCCTCCTCGCTAGGCCGGGCCGGGCGTCCGGTGTTTCGTTGGCCGCAAGCGGCCGGATCTCGTCCGTTCCCCGGTGACGAGCTGCTCCGTCCCAACCGACCAGATGATGGTGGACGTGTGCGGTGGCAAGAAGACGTCGTCGAAGCGGTCTCGGACGAGGCGAGGCAAACGGGGCCGCCGACGTCGCAAGAACAACCGGCAGAAGAACAACAAGAACCAGAACGAAACACCGCCGCCATTTCTACCGCCGGAGGTCTAAATAGCTCCTTCCGCTTCGCCTCCGCTAGCTCGCTTAGCCGCCAAGCTAACCGTCTGATGCTGCTGCTGCTCGTTTTTTTTTTTTTTTTACAGGCCGAGGAAGGAAACGTCGAGTATAAGGTAACGTCCTCAAGCCTCGCGGCTTTTCCTGGTCCTGACGCTCACATGACGTCCCCGCCCCCCGGCCCCGCCCCCTTAGCTGAAGCTGGTGAACCCCACCCGGAACCGCTTCGAGCACCTGGCCACGCAGCTCAAGTGGCGTCTGCAGGAGGGCCGCGGCGAGGCCGTCTACCAGATCGGCGTGGACGACAACGGGCTCCTGGTGGGCCTGAGCCAAGCCGACATGACGGCGTCCATCGGAACCTTACGCCAGATGGCTGACAAGTAACGTGCGCAAGCGCATTGGCGCGGCGGCGGCGGCGGGATCCTGACCGACGCTCCTCGTCTTCAGGGTGGGCGCCGACATCACGCTGCTCCGGGAGCGTCAGGTGGACTCGGACGGCGGCGGCGGCGACGGCGGCGCGCGCAGGATCGCCGAGGTCCTGGTGCGGAAGGTTCCGGACGACCAGCAGGTGAGGGTCCGCCGCCGCCGCA